AAATGGCATTTGCTTCTGTTGGAGGATCCCAGGAAAAACCAGCCCGAGACCTTCTAGGTCTGGATTCACAGCTGGAGATTTTGAGGATGACCCAGGTAATTCCAATTATGGCTGAAAATCCAAGGAAGGGTAGTGTGTGGTCATGTGCATCCAAGGTGACTCCTGGTTGCTGGTTCACAGTCTCTATCCTCTGCCAAGCTCCCGAGAGCTCAGTGGCAACCAGCAGGGTCCTCTTTTCAATCTCCTTGGTCAGCCTTGGATGTGGTGATGCTGTCCTTGGCCCTGGAGGCTGGCAGACCCAAGCTGGCCTTGGAGCTCAAGCTCCTTGTTTGGTTTCCATTGTCTATTCAGTTCAGACTTTGTGCACCCCAATTCCTGTCAGTTTCCTGACAGGAAACTTCTAATAATACCTGTTCCCACATTTATCCAAGAGCAACATGCAAAAATGCATGGCTTTCCTACAAGCCAGCAACAAATAGAAAATTAAAGCTTCAAAGTCACTCCTGGGGCCAGATGTGTAGCTCAATGAGCAAATGCTTCCCTTGCATGTACAAAATCTTGGTTCCACCTCCAACCGTGGAAAACAAGTTACTGTTTACAAGAGAAGCAAATATTCAAATACCTAAAACCTGTGGAGCTAAGGTACACTGAAAAGTACCAGGTATTGCTGAGACACCAGGCTGCTACCTGCCTGTCAAGTGGGACTGCCTGGATCGGCTGTGCTAGGAGACATAGGATAGCAGCGAGGCCTTTGGAGCCAGAGGCCTCTGGTGCTCACAGCTGCCTGAGCAGCATGCAGGATGACACTGTGTCCTTTAGCAAAACACCTTTTCTCCCTGAGTGCTTTTCTTAGAGCTTCTTCTCTTCTGACTTCTGCCCTAAAATAAATGGAGTCATTGATCGGGTCAGTAAAAGCTTTGAAAGCAGTGTTGCTCCCGACCCAACCAATAGCATCCCAGCTGCCCAGCTCCCCAGGGTGCACACTGCTCATTCTCTCCTGTGCTGCAGGGCTCAGATTCAGCTGCTGTCCAGGATCTCCAGCGGGATCTCACAGAGCAAAACTAACTGTGAGATTTTCTGTCATACTAAAGCCAACATTGCCAGTCTGTGTGCTTGGCTACTCATGCCTCTTTTCAATCTGGGCAAAATCCTGCCAGTTGCTATCCTCCAGGGATGACTCTATATTTTCCATGCTCAAAGCCCTGCGAAATTCATGGCAGACCTTGGGCAGAGATGGCAAAGGTGCTGGGACTTGGCTTGAATTCTTGTCTTAGGCACTGTCTCTGAAAATCCTTCCTGGGCCCCAGGCACTGCCTCCCAGGAGGAAGCCAGCCATACCCTGCTGCCAAGCCTGGGATCAGTCCACCCAGCACAGCCCTGGGCCAGCAAATGTTCTCTGCCAGTGAATGGGGGCCAAGGGCATACTTGACTTTGGTAGACCTGGATTAGATGAACTCCATCTCCAGGGCCCTGTGGAGGTCCCAGAGCTGCCTGGCACAGCTCCCTGAGTCACTGTAGGTCCCTGACAGTCAGGGGGCTCTGCTGTCAGAGTAGCATGTGTGTTCTGATGGGGATGCTGCCTGGCCTGCGCATACAGCCCCTGTCCTCTGAGTGATCAGACTGAGAATCTGTGCCAGGGAGCAGTGGGAGGGCCCTGTGTACTGGTCACTGCACCTGCTTGTGGAAGTCTGTAGGGAGGGGCCTGGATTTTAGACTAAGTACCTTGGGGCTGTGTAGGCCGGCCAGTGGGGCAATGAGGAGCAAGAGCTCAGGAGAAGGAGCCATGCCCACTGTACGGTGACGAGGGGAAGGGGAACAGGGCAAGGCAGGACACCCCCAGGATGTCCACATCCCAGTGCCTAGAGGAACCCTGTGACAATGACCTTAGAGGGCCAGAGGGACAAAGATGTGGCTAGGCAGATCTTCTCAAGGTGGCGATGATCCTGACCAGCTGCATGGGATGGGAGAGGAGATGGGGTAGATGGTGTGGGCCGGAGGCACAGGAGCAACCTGGACAGCAGTGCAGGGCTGTTAAGAATATGCAAGTCCCCAGCCGGGCTGGCTTTGCTGGGCAGTGGCCTTCACTGTCTGCCTTCACCTCTGACCAGAGCTGCACTGTGCCTGTCCTCAGCTCCAGCTTTCTGACTGTGGCGATGGTAATCCCCAACATCTCACGAGGGGATTCCTGTTTAGCTATGCACTGGGCCCATTTCTCTGCAAACCTAACATGGGTCAGGGGTGTGGAATGCAGAGAACAGAGGGGGATGGGAGAGGCAGGCAGAGGTGCAGCTGGAGAGCTGCAGGTGAGTGGTGATTCTAGAGATGGCACACATGGAGGGGAGGAAGGCACCCAGCACTGCAGGAAAGACGGCCCTGACTGAAACCTGGTGGAGAACTCGCCTGAAGTCTCTTCCAGAGTCGCAGAAAAGGGAGCTTGCGCCAATGCTGAAAATGAACACAGCTAAGGGGCCAAATCTGCCAAGTGTCCCACCGGGGCCTGCTTCTCCCTGGCCACTGTGAGAAAATATGAGAGGAGAGCGAAGAATTATGAAAATAATCATTGAACAAAAGGTTCTGTTGGACACAAGTAGCTGAGGCACCTGCATAGACAAAGCTAACCATCGTGTGGTCTCTGCAAGACTAGGAAGGCCTGGGGGGCCCAGAGCAGCCCGGATGAGGTCCCGGCCGCAGATGAGGTCACATGCACACCGCACCCGTCCAGGTGCGAGTTCTGTGCTCCGGCTGGAGGAGCTGCAAGGGTGCGTGCGGGTGCCGGAAGCCCTCTCCTCGGCCAGGGACACTTCCCTTTCTCACGTCCTGTCCTCTCGCCCACTAGGGCCTCTCCCCTTGTACCCTTATGTTCTGTACCCCTCTGGAGTGTGACTCTGAGTTGGGAACAGAGTTCAGTCCTGTCACCTTCCTCCGCACCCAGCCTGTGGCCAAGGCGGTGTGGCTTCCTCCAAAAGCAGGGCTGAGCCACTGCACCTCTCACTCCATCCCTGTGCCCAGCAGCTCCCAGTGCCTCATGGAAGGTCTTGGGATTTGGCCCAGCCCAGGACACTCATGACTCCCTCCCCTCTGCCCTGACACTGCAGACCCTGCCGCTGCTGTCCTGAGAAGGGACTGGCCCCATCAGTTAAAGCCCAGGCTAGTGAACGACCATCACATAAGCGGCTCCAGCTTCAGGCTCGGTAGCTCTGGCAGCAGCACCGCTTCCTACAACTGTCTGCTGTGAACCAGCTTTCTCAGATGCGGCTCCGTGCTGCAGCCCTCACACGGTAAAATGTGCCCGCTAGAAAGTGTCTGCATCCTAAGTGGCTTGCACTATTCCTACGGCCCAGTCTTGGCTCTAGGGGTGACCACCCAATGAGGGCAAAGACCCAAGACAGAAGTACCTGGATGACACACCCAGGAGCACGGGGGGCAAGGCCAGATTCACAAAAACACAGCAAGAGGAACAAGGAGATGACAGCAGGAAAATGAGATGGCCAGAGAGAAGATGTGGAGGACACGACTCCAGCAGGCATTGGGGACAGCGCCACCCGAGCTCGGCACATGGCTACTGGACACTGTTCCACAGAACTGGACTTAAGCAACATGCAGAGGTCTGAGCACTGACTTATAATTAAATATTACTAATGAGAAGGAACTTGGGCTGAGTTGAAGAAAAACGAAGCCCAGCAAACAGGTGAAGCACACCTAGTCCCAAAAGCTTTTCTAAATGCTCAAGAAAAAAAATTTCTGGCAAGAATCTAATTTTGATTGCACATTCTGAGTGGTACCAGTCGTCACAGAGTACAATAATCATGGACTACTCAGAGCCACCTGTGTCCATGCTGAGAAGCTGGGACAGGTGAATTCTGCCCAACAAGGAAAACCAGGGATGTCCATGGTAAAGGGCGGGTGAGTGCTAATGAGTTACACTTGGATCTTGGAGAGAAGCCACGGCATGGTCGAGGCTGGAAGAATGGTGTGGGACCGGGCTGTCTAGTGAGGCTGGGACAGCACTTTCCAGGCAGGTGTCCTGGGTGCTGACAGATACCTGGCAGAGTGAGCACTCACAAACTGGCTCTTAGACCCGGGTCAAACAAAGGAGGCCACGGAGGTTAAAATGTGCCTTAGGGAAACGTGAAATACACGATCTTCCGTGAATTGTAAAGCATACAACAAAGAGAGAACCAGAAGGGAGCCACCAAATATACGTGCTAAATATAACCTAACATTTAAATATAAGTAATAAGGGGTTTCTCAAGTGCAGATGACTAAGGGTGAAAACATAGTCCTAGGGGTAATCAGAAACATAAACTATACAAAAATTCCTAAATACTGTCTAACACTTCCTAAATACTAACACTTCTCAAACACAAACACTTCCTAAATACTAACACTTCCAAAATAACACTTTCTAAATACGGTCTAACACTTCCTAAATACTGTCTAACACTTCCCAAACACTAACACTTCCTAAGTACCAAACACAAGAACAGGTACAAAAAAACTGTAAGAAACACTCTACGGCCTTGATAAATGAGCAGCACCTTTGCTGGATGCTGCAGGAGGGACCTGAGGGAGAGACGAAGAATGGGACAATCTTGGTCAGGTGTCAGTGACGGGGGCCTGGAGGTGGTGCTCAGCGCTGACGAGGACCAGAGGCCACTTGGACTCCTGGGGAGACAGCATTGAGGGCTGGGGCTCGGGCTGCCTGGAGGGGAAGGTGACACCACAGGGGAGAGGAGACAGGCCTGATCTTAGGCTCGCCTCCGCTGTAGGACACAGGGCCCTGGCTGCCCCGCAGGGGGACAGCTGGCAGTACCAGAGAAGCTGCCCCTGATGTTCCTTGTGAGGAGCACGTGAGGTCTTCCCTAGCCCCTGAGGAGGCCGTCTTAGTGGCAGTGCTGCATGTTCAGAAAGGACACTTCCCAGAGAAACCCAGCCTCCTGCAGCTCCAAGCCCTGTGGCGAGGGGCTGAGCGTGCGCACAATGGGGAGACTGCAGAACCATCAGACACAGCCTCCTCCAGCCCCGTGTTTAATAAAGCAGAGACATCATCCACAGACACAGAGGGTGAGCATTAGGTGCTGTCACACCAGCTCCAGGCTGGAGGCCTCCACAGGCCCACGGCCACTGGGCACCTTGCAGAGACAGGAATGAGGTTCCTGAGGCCTGAGTGAGACTCCCAAGAACACCAGGGAAGAGCAGAGCAAGGTGTCGTCGGAAAGGAAGGAGGCGAGCGCAGGCAGTGAGGTGAACCAGGGCTGCGGGGGGCATGCAGCAAGAAAGGAACCACAGGCACCAAAGAGGGGCTGGGGAGGGTGATCAGGTGTGAGCGCACCCTGGAGCCTCAGGGGCCGACACCTCTGCACCCGAAGCCGGAGGGCCTGGGAACTTGCAGGCCATGTTCCCGGGGCATAGACGCTGTTTCTTTCTGATCACCGTCTGTTTCATGGCAGCAGCTGTATCAGAAAGGCTGTGGTAGGGCCGGGGACACAGCTCAGCGGCACAGCTCCTGCCTGGAAAACACAAGGTCCGGAGTCCAACCCTCTCCAAGAAAAGAAAACGAAACAGATGCTGTAGGCCTGAGTCCCATGGACAGCATCACCCTCCGCCTTGGGAAGGTTTTTGCACCCAAGGGAAGTAGCCAAATTCAGCTCTGAAGCACAAGCACAGCCACCAGCATCCACTGCCACCCAGAGCCTTGCTGTGCCGCATGCTTCCACCCAGGAGGCTCAGCAGATAAAGAGGCCTTGGACAGGGGAACCCAGGAGGGAGGACGGCCGTAGACTGACACCGGCCTTGCTGCTGGTATTTCTACTCAGCAGTCAAGAAAGACTGCAAGGAGGCAAAGACACCCAATTTAAGATCAAACAAGAAAAGGCCTCCCCATGGCTGCACAAAACAGTGGGTGACAGGCGGCACCTGCGCACCTGTGTGGTGGACGTTCCCATGGCAGGCAAGTTCACAGAGCCTGGTGGGCTGAGTGTGGCCCCTCCCCCGTCCCATCACGCATCTCCCCTGCAGAGTACAAGGCTCTGCACCTCACCTTGGCTCGAACCCACCACTGCCTCCTTTCACTAATGGAAATACGAACGACACTGTCCCGTGGAGCCCCATGCTGAGACCTCCCAGCCCTCAATCTTCCCCTCTCATTCAGTGGGGAGAGTCTGTCCCGCCACCTGCTGAGAAGGCTGGAGTCCCCCCACCCCACTGCCACATTCAACCACATCAAGCCCAAGCCAGGCCTGGAAGCACAACTTCCCAGGGGAGGCACTCATGGGGATTCCGCGTGAACTCCACAAGGACGCACAACTGGCATCCTGGGTACCAAAAGGTGAGGGCACAGGGACCCAGGAGGCGCCAGGCTTGGTGGTACACACCTGTTATTCCAGCACTAGAGAGACTGCAGCAAGAGGACTGATAAGAGTTCAGGGCCTGGGAGGGACGGTGAGTCAAGGGATGCGGGACACAGTGACAGCATAACCTGCTGCAGCAGGGAGGAAGGTGGGTTGAGGGGACTGTGTGGCTTCCCACCCGCCTGCTTCTGTCCGTTCCTGCACTCGGGCACCCCGCATCCCCTCACTGGAGAGCAATGTACACAGAAAGGGACACGAGCAAAGACGGCCTGTGTGCTGAGGGCTCGCAGGAGCTGGGCACCTGGGAGAGGCCCAGGCTGACCAGGGCCAGTGGTCACCTCACCTGGGCTGAGCTGGAGAGCGAGGTGCTCCACTGTCCTGCGCCACTCAGGCTGGCCTGGGTGGCTGCGTCCCCCATGTCTCACAGGGTGCTCCCAGGACAGCAGGTTCCTGATGCTGCAGCGGAGGGAGCGGATGGTGTCCTTCCATGTCCGGAACATTTTCTGTAAGTGTGTCAGCATGTGGGCCTGAAGTTCAACAGCAGAGTTGACGTCCCTAAGGGAGGAGAGAAGGGATCATCAATAATTAGACCTCAGCTCTCAGGATGGGCATGAATGGCAGCACGTCATAAGATGGGGGAAGAGTGTAAGAGGTAAAGGTTTAGTGACTGAGACTCTGCCAGGGAGGCCCCGAGTGTGCTCCCAGGAGCCTTTCCCATACAGCGCTGCCACGTGCTTGACGACCACTGAACAAGCTGTGTGGCAGGGTCACAGAGAAAAGCAAGCACACTCCAGAGCCACTCTGCACCCAGGACAGATGTCCGCCATTTAATTGGCTCTTCATGGATACAGTCTTGTATCTGTGACAAACTTGACCATACGCTAAGGAGCCACTTGCAGAGATCAGTTCTGCATGGCTGAGTTTCATCCTTCAGGAGACAAGTGGCCCTGTGTGAGAGCCGTGATCACCTGCAGTTCTGCTGAATTCTGCCTGGGTCGCTGAGGAAAGTGGTAACAGGGATAAGCGACATGAGACAGGCAAGCAAAGGGAGCACCTGCCTGACCCGGAGCAACAGGGGGCTCAGGAGACGGAGGCGCCGCAGGGAAAGGAGACCGTGGGCCTCCAGGGCTGCCCTTCCCGTACTGTGATTCCACATGAGCTGCTTTTCGGTCCAGCTCCATTTCTAGCCAAGGAGTCCCAGCCAACCAAGGAAGGTGAACCTCACAGAAAGAGGGGGAGCATGTCCTCCCTACGGCCCCCTCCGGGAGCTACAGGGCTTCCCACAAAGGCAGGGAAACCTCACTCTGTGGCACCTCGGGCAGAATGACTAGGGGGTAAACCTGAGAGTAACCCAGCGGGACGGAGAGAAGCAGCTGCAAGAGCGTGGTGCCCGTACCAGGCTGGTGCAGGCAGAGGGGAAATGTGAGCCCTCCCTGCTCCTCCTGCACCTGCAACCTCAGAGGTCAGTGCTGCACCGCAGGCCATGCCTTTCACACTCACCTGGGCACCTCGGTGGCCTCCTGCTCCTGTGGTCTACAGGTGTCTTCAGCCCCTGAAAACAATGCACACACACAGGTCACGACACAAACTTATCTTGTGACCCATTACAAGCCCCGTGCTGAGACACACACAGGCCTCAATATTGCTGGTGTGAGAATGGGACACAGTGAGCAGAACAGCGAATGTCCCTGACCTCATGAAACAAGGTCACAGTGGCCCTGCGCTGACTCTGGCAAACACTTATGATCCTTCATCACAGAAATCTGTATGAGTGGCTCTCTGGGAAAACTTCTGCAGTGCGGAGCCTGTGTGGTGTTAAGACACTGAGGCTGCTGCAGGTGCGGTGGAGACGGGGAACTGAGGCCAGGCAGGTGGATGGAGTCTAGAGAGGCCCCGAGAGGACAGACCTCAGAGCTGGGAGAGGAGAGCACTCGCACTCCAGCAGGGCAGGAGTGCTGTGGCTAAGACCGCCTTCAGGGATACCATGGGACACAGGCACGAGTGCTGACACCCAGGCAGACACCTGGGGCCCCGCATGGACAGGACAAGTAGAGAAGACAGAGCAGTGGCCAGCAGTAGAGGACCAGGACAATATGTCCTGTGACAGAATCCAGTGGAGTGAGGGGTTAGCTAGCAAACGATGTTCAGGAGCCTCAGGCCAGCACTGCCGAGCTCAGGAGGGGACGAGGCCAGCGGGGCCCTGAGTCCAAAACTGTAGGCCTCTGTCCTCCCTCTGTACCTCCTCCTCCTGCAAGATCCACTCCCATTTCTTCCCAGTGTTCTTCACGTCTGTCCTGCCTCATCCTCCCGAAAGGCACCAGGGCAGAGCCTTCGCACTGTGCCTGCACGAGAGCTCTCTCCTCTCCTCTTCCTATGCTTCTGCACTTCCATGTCACCAAACATTTCAGCAGAAGTGGTTCTGTTCTCTCTCTTCTTTTTTACCCCCCAACCACTCTTTTTAAAATTTTAAAGAGAAAAAAGAGAAAAGTCAAGAAGTAAACAAACCTAAAAAGCAACAACAAAAGCAAACCAACAGCAACCCCTTTTAAAGAGGTGGCTTTACTGTGGGGCCCAAGCTGGCCTCGAACTTTAGGCTCCAATGAGCGCCTCGCCTTGGGTTCCTCGTTAGCTCTGGTGCCCACTCCCGGGTTACCACTCTCCCGCTCCATAATCCTGAGCACACCCTGTTCCTACGCTCACTTCTCGTGAATTTCTCCGGGCCACCCGCTCAAGGACTGCAACGCTTCACCACGCCCATGTGTTCCTGACGCTGGCCTGGTGTGCTCCCCGGTGTCACTTCCCACTGCTCCCCCTCACAGCCTTCCCGGGGGATGGGCTGCCTTCCCTCAGCCCAGCCAGTCGCCAGGTGTCTCCCCATCCACGCCACTGTCTACGGTGACAGCCTTGGCAGTGGTATCCGCTGTCCTCGCTCGGGACACAGTTCGTGCCTTCACCACGAGCCACCCGGGACACTCGGCAAGGTTGTGAGTACATGCGGAAGAGGAAACATCTTCAACCCACCCACCTGCGTTTACAGGAGCGCCAAGCAGGGACAAGAGGCCGGGAGAGCTGGGGGGACTGGAAAGGCCACGGAGGTCACGCTCTTGAATCGGCCACATCCTGCAGCGCTTCCTCGGCTATCCTATGAGCCAGCTCAGTATAACCTGGCCTCAGATGTTTTAAAATTGTGATTTTTAAAAAACTATGTAATTAGACTGAGCAAGCGAATGGGAGAAACTATCCCAGCTGTGTTCCCGATCACTGAGGTCACAGCCCTGACCCCCTCGCTGGGATTCCTGGGCAGTTCAGCGACCTCGCTGGCCTCAGTGTCCTCGGCTCTCACATGGAGAGCCCAGCCCTGCCTGGGAGGGGTGCTGGAGGAGACCACCTATGCCTCCCGCTACCCCAGCAGAACAGGAGAGCAGTATGAAGATGATGGTCCCAGTGTGAAGAGCGCCGACAGCCCCACAGGGCTAGAGAATGACACGTCACGGCTCCTTTCTCTGTGAGCCCTCCGTCCATGGAGGGACACACAACACTGACTCAGAGTAAGAACGCCAGCCAAGTTCAGAGCTTCTCTTCGAGCCTGACGGGAGGAAGACGCCTGAGTTTTAGCTCTGCACGGGCCTCAGGCCTGGCTGTACAGCCCCTGCTCAGCAAGACAGGATGTCTGGAGACAGCGGATGGCAGTCCTGCTCTCTGCCTTGTCAGGTAGGCCGACACTGTCACAGGAGGCCTTGTTAATGGTGACAGGAAGCAGAGCTCTGAGACGAGACATATGATTGAATTCCTAACGCCAGACAGGGATAAAAACCCAGGTCCTGGGAAGAGGGCAGAAACACAGCTGTGGTGAGGGGAAGGAAGCGGAGTGCTGCCCTGGAGGGAGCAGCCGCTGTGCGGTAGGAGCCTCGGCTTCACAAATCCCCCTCAGTAACTGAGGAGTCCACCAGGTGTGCAGATGTGTAGAGAAGAGGGGAGGACCAGGGGGCAGAGGCCACTCCCGGCAGTGTGACGGGAGCCCTGGAGCACCCCTGCAGGAAGGGGTCTGAGCCCGCTGGGCACAGGCTGCAGGGCGCTGGGAGGTCTTCTGTCCCCTCTCCTCACTCTGTCCCAGGTGCAGATCTGCGGTCTGCACTGAGGCCCAGGCTGACAGAGCCCTGCCAGGCACAAAGAACTCAGCAAAGCTCTGGAGTCCCCGGCTTCAGCCCATCTCTGCACAGAAGGGGACTCCTAGGCGGCCTGCAGACACCTCGCTCAGCCAGAATTTGGGAGCTGAGCACAGAACTGGAGAACGCTGGACCCTGGAGCTGCTCTCCTAGCAGGATGACTGGGACTCATCAGTTCCATCTGGAGCAAGGCTCACTTGAGGCTCATCTGCAGGGACAGCGACACTGAGATGGCCCCGGCTCTGTATCAGGATGTCTGGAGCGGAAGGAAGACGGTTCCTCCACCGAACCTGACAGGAATTTATCCACCTCTGCTCACAAAACTCAACACTGAGACAGCTGCATGCTGTCAAGGACCAGGCACAGAAGACGTAGCGAAACGTGGTCCCGTGCAAAAACAAGTGGAGGACAAACGACGTCTCCCATAGAAAACAGACCTCAGGGCAGGGGAGATGTCCAGACTGCCAGTACCCCTGTTCTCCCCACTCTGCCACACTGGATCCACACCCTTCAGTCCCCACTGAGTACCAAGGTGAGGGTCCTGTGGCCTGGATTCGGGAGGAGTACGACCTGCCTGACACACCTGACCCTGAGCTCAGCCCTGTCTTTCAGCTGCACTCATAGCCAGGTGTCCCCACAGGACACCTACAGAGCCCTCCCGACCCACAGAGATGGCTGAGCACGGAGCGCATGGATGTGGCTGGGAGCCCCGGGAGCCCCACTCTCTTTGCGGGGTGCACTCACTGGCCTCACCCGGAGGAGTGGGAACTGCACATTCCTCACCTGGGGCGGCCGCACTATTGGGGGGCTTGGGGGATGCAAATAAGTCCTGGTAAGTGGTAAACATCAAATACTTTTCATCCAAAGAGCCCTCCAGGGACTCACTGACATTCCTCCTGTCCCGCAGGTCCCTGTAAGGAGAGCAGAAAGGTAAGCCATGAGGCTGGAGTTCACAGCTGATCACCTGGTCTACCCAGGGGGGCCAAAGAGAAGCCATGGGAGGCAGAGCAACCACTTCTTCAAGGGTCAGAAGGCCAGGGAGGGAGAACCCCAGGAAAGGCTAGCCGCCTGCCACATCGGTCATCCACCGAGGAAAGCTGCTGGAGGTGGAAGCAGCTCAGTGTGAGCAGGAGTGACATGCACAGGCCAACAAGTGTCCAGCTGTTCCAACCCCAGAGCACTGGGCCCGGGAGATCGGGCGACCTGAGGAACCAGTGAATCCCAGTAATCCTAGGTCTTCAGAGCCTGTTCTCTCAGTGCTGCAATTTCACGTGGTGCCTTTTTGGCCCAGTTCCGTTTCTTCCTCTGGAATCCAGGCCAACAAATGAAGGCCAAACTTGCAGAAATGGGGGAGCATCTCCTCTCAATGCCCACCCCCCCCCCCGCCCAGCAGGAGAGTGAGGGCTTCCTTGCCCTAGTGTAGGGAAACCTCAGCTTGGTTCACCGTGGGCCACGAGGACCGGAGGTGACCGCACTTGCAGAGTAACGGGCAGGGCAAACCAAGACAGAGTCCTCTGACGGAAGCTTGCTACTGGCTGGCAGAACGGATGAAGCAGGGCTGCTGAACACTTCCTACCCCTCTCTGCGCCGGAGACCTCAGCGGCCACCACCGCCTCACAGGCCATGACTTCCGCACTCACCTGGGCATCCCAGCCTCCTTGTCTTCCTGTGGTGCCAGGGTGGCTTGAGGGTCTGCAAGCACACATGGCTGCAATCGTCACGTGAACTTGCCTCCAGACCCAACCCAAACCACTTTCCAGCTAAACTGAATGAATGGCTCGCTCAGCGGGAGGACAGGATGTGCAGGGGAACATCCCTGGGGGTCTCAGATCAGCTCCTGAGGAACGGGAAGACTTCACTTCTGACGCTGGGCAGACTGAGCGACAGAATGGGGCCCACACCAACACAGACACCTCATGTGCAGCGTAGAACAGAAGATCTGGAAATGCCCTGAGCACTGCCAGCCATTTGATTTTTGCCAAAGGGTCCAATAACCTATGCTGAAAAAGACAGGCTGCAACCTACAGGGCTGGGGAAACTGGTGATCCACTGGCAGCAGATAGAATCGGCATGCTTCTCTCTCACCCTGTGCTGGAAGCAAATCCAAATGGATCAAAGACTTTGGTACAGAAACAGAAACTCTTAAAGAGAAATCACAGCCATGGATTTCCTAAGCGCAATGCCAATCCCAAAAGACAGAATACTAAGAATCTACAAATGGGATGATTTTACATTACACAGTTTTTGCACAGCAAAGGACACGACACCAGAGTAAAGAGACAACCCACGGAATGGGAAAGACCTCTCTGCCAATAATTCCTCAGAGGAATCTGCATATTCTAATATGCAGGATACTGCATAAAGCACTCAAAAATATCAGCCTCTAAGTAGAAAAGGCCCAGGTGTGCAAACTGCCCGACACACCTGACCTCTGCACCTCACTTTCCTAGAGCTTGACTCTCAGCAAAAACTAGGCAGCTGAAACCAGCACCCTTGTCAGAAGCAGGAGAAATGGCCAATAAGCACATGGAAAAATGCTCAGCATCTTGGCCCTTAGAGAAGTACCAATCAGACCACTGGAGCACATCCCACTCCAGTAAGAATGTCCGTCATGAAGAACTCAAAGCACAAATGCTGGCGAGCTCATGGGGAAAAGTGACCCTCCTGCTCTGTTCAGGAGACTGTGCACTACTAGTGCAACCACTTTGGATATCTGTGTGGACTTGACCGAAAAAAGTTAAAAGGGAAATTCCATCTGAGATAGGTGGTCCCCTACTGGGTATCTTCACCAGTCGGTGAAAGTCATCCTCCCACAGTGCTACACACACACACACACACACACACACACACACACACACACGTGCTCACCGTCACAGCTCACATCTAGGTGTCCTCTGCAAAGCCTCTGCCCTCAGAGGTAGGGCTTTTGGGAAGTGACTGGGTCGTGTGTGTGTGTGTGTGTGAGTGTGTGTGTGAGACACTGGCTCAGTCAGCTGACCGGTTCCTAGCTGGGTGTGAGGCTGGGAGGTGGAGCCTGGTGAGAGCAGGTGGTCACTGTGGGCAGGGCCTGGAGGGAGACAGATCCCCTCCTCCTGCCTCCAGCCTTTGTGGCTTCCTGCCTGCCACGCCAGGAGCTCTTTCTTCCCTACCACGCCACCTTGCCTTAGAACCAGCCGACTATAGATGGAAACGTATGCAAAGTGTGAGCCAAATCAACCTTCCCTCCTTTCACTTGGGTCAGGTGTTTTCTCCAAGCAAATGGAAAGTAACTGAGACACTTACACTAGCACAACCATTAGAGCTAAAATACGATAGTGGGCCATCAAAGATGAATGGACAGCAAAAATGTGGTATACAGACATCAAGGAACACTACTCAATCATGGAGAAAGAAGAACCTGAGACGGTGATGGGAAAATGGATATATACGTAAAAAAATACACCCCAGAGGTTTCAACATGAACCCTCCCATTGACACATCCAAATAATTAATAACTGCAACAGCCAAGTAAACGACAGATGACAAGAAACAGGGAAGTGCCCTCTGAAGCGGTGAGGGAAGCTGAAGGGGGATGAGGAGGGGACAGTAAACATGATCCAGAGGTGATACGGACATGCACCACACCCCCCGGGGGAACATGACTCTTGCATTTTGCAAGCACACACTAACTATGAAAGAGAATGCAGGAATGGAAACACCGCACAACGCTTAACTGTAAAGGTGTGACATTAGCTTGCTCTGTTACTGGGGAGACTGTCGCTGAACTCACCGTGCATGACCACACGATGCCCTTCATACTGACTCTGCCAACCTGTTAGACGGTTCCTTTTCCAGTCTTTAGGAAAAGCCGGAATAGTGACTGTCTGCTAGTCCTTACTGAGACAAGGTTGCTGCACCACCCTGGGGCTGACTCCACAGAGCCTGGGGAGAAAGGACTGACCGTCTCCCTGCAGAGAGGCAGGGAATAATGATTCCCTTCAGGAATCATGTGAGGCAGGGAAGGAGCTGTGTATGCTGGGAGGCAGAAGACAGCTTCTGGGGGATGAACCGGATCAGAAGAGCACAGATGCTGACTGGGGTTGAGGAAGAACGACAGTAATAGCTCCAGTGATACACTCAAGAGGAAGCATACGTGGAAGGTCACTAGAGAAGAAAGCACACATCCAGGATGAATAATCAGCAAGAGCACTACAGGACAGATCAGCTGTCACGGCTACAGAGTGACTCGGTGACGACCTGCCCCGCACGGGCTCCGGAGGTGGTGCTGAGTCTTCCAGTCTCTGACCTCTCCCATCCGCTGCCCTAGGCTCACCCTGATTCTGCTGTTGGACCCCCACAAAGACGGTGAGTGTGAGCAGAGAGGACTCACGAGCTGCATCCGGAGGAGAGGAGACCGCATCCGTCAGGGGAGCCAGGGTACAGGGAAGGTGCTGGGTGTCACTCAGCTCCCAGTAACTGGACAGCATCCCTGGGTCCTCATCTTGGGAGTTCTGAGGGACTTGTCCATCCTGCTCCTCTACTCCCTCTGTGCTCACCCTGGTGGGATGAAGAGTGAGGCAGAGCCTAGAGGGACGGGATGTAGGGTTCCAGGGGGCCTCAGAGAGGTGCACCGAGGCATCACACAATGGCCGGGGCAAGACCTTCCCGGGCAGAGAAGCCTGTCGCTCAGAGGAGACGCAGCCTGCTGCTGACGGAAGGAGATGGGGCAAGTGCTCCGTGCATGGCTGGACAGTGAGCAGGCAAGGACAGTATCGCAAGGTGCCCTGAGTGACACAACCATGACCTGCAGCACAGCCAGAGGACCTGGCAGCGGTCCCGCCTCCACTGCAAAGTGCGCTGACTTTCCCACATGGTGTCAGTCAGTGCCCCAATATATAAAGAGGCCAGGAGAGCTTGTGCCATCCGCGGCTCTGCACATGGACAGTGACTTGATAGACACATGCTTGGTCTTTTAGGTTCTTTCGTGTGCAGTCCACACAGAACCAAACCCACAAGTTCCTCCTGGACTTCTCCACACGAGGAGAGTGGGTTATGTGAGTTCCTAAATGTGCAGCGAGGCTGACTAGGTCCACTTCGGAACAAATGAGTCCCACAAGGACAGTGGCCACCAGGGTAACAGAGGCATGCTTATTTGCTTGAGGTCCCATCCACAGGGGAGTCTGCTTCCCTTTCCCTCTGAGGTGGAACCTGGGAGCACTTTTCACAGGTCCCGCCCTCCTCTGCAGTCCTCCTTTTGGCCTTGGCCTACCCGCTCAGGAGCCCTCCTCCTCCTGTCTCCAATGAGTCTAGCCCTCAGTATGCACTGTTACCTGGGGAGCAGTGATTGATGCTCTTCTCCGCTCCCGTCCTCCAGGTCCTCTGAAATGAAATTCATACATGTCTGGTCAGCCCCAAGCAGCTCCCTGCCCTCCATCAGAGACCCTGCAGCCTCTCCAAGGATGGAAGTGGGAAGATCCGTGGACCAAGGGGTTGGGCACAAACTCGCCTCCTCTCTGGAGTGAGCACATGAGTACTTCACACAGAGAGCTGTGATTCTGCCAATTGTATTTCTGGAGGTGCACTGGCAATCTGGGGTGTGGTACACAGAGCAGAGAGGGGGCAGGGATCCAACATGCCCCTGGGAAGGTGACGGGCCTGCACTCAGACTCACTGGACACAGAGACTGCACCCCAGGTCTGGGCCCTGCTTCTTCTCCTCCCACACCCACCCATCCATCAACAGGGCTCTCACATCTGAGTTGAGGAGCAAAACTGAAGGAGCTGCAGGCCCTGACTGTGGACACGCCAAGGTCCACAGAGGTAAAACAGCCACAAGGACATGTGACTGTGGCTCCTGGACTTCACACACCTGCACACCACAGCCCAGCTCAGGCAGAGAGACGCAAACGTCCCCAGACACTGGCTGCCTTCCACTCCTGCCACCCAGGTCGTCCTCTGAAGCCATCCCAGAGACAAAGGACAGGCTTTGTTCTCTCTCTTTCTTTGGTACCAGGGATTGAACTCACGAAGCCCGCTTGCCAGGCAGATGCTGTGCTGCTGAGCTGCAACCCTGGCCTCCAAAGGACAGTTTTTCAAACAGACCAGGGAAATGAAATTCAGAGTTCTCAGAAAAGAAGGTTCAAACTTGTGTAACTCCCAGGCTGCAGTTCTAATGGGAAAGGAAATGGCAGACAGCAAACAAGCATGGTGGAAGGCCTTTGACAGTAGAAACGAACCCCCTCGCTGTACCTGCATGTCGTGGGGGTGGAGCGCGTGCCTGTCACCACAGGGCCCTGAGTTTGACCCCAGAATCACTCAAAAACAATACAGAAGAGAATAGAACATACGAAAAACTGGGAAAACTGATGCATGGGGAAAATTCCGGAGAGAAAAGTCCCACAGGAGCGTTTAATAGTACCTGAGAAAGCCCCAAGGTGACCCCGCACATGGAAGCATAGCTCCTGGGAAGTCTGACAACAAGAGGATCCTCACGAGAACCCACACCCGCCGGACCAGGTTAGAGTGTCAGGAAGACAAGGACTCCAAGGACACTGGAAAATAAGGCCGAGAGGTGTCACGGGTGAGTGTGCTGAGATTTCTTCTTAGAAATCATTAAAACAGAAGAGAATGGAGGGAAAACGATGGAAATGAACAACAAACTATTGGATAATATCCAATATCCAGCCAACTCAGACAGTTAAATAAAACAGGCTCAGACAAATAATAATGGAGGGTATTTTTTCAACAAAGCTGCTCCACAAACATGCTCAAAAAAGCATCCTCCAAAAACACACAGAGAGACACAGAGGAGAACTCACTGTACAAAAATTAAATATATTACAGAAAGACAAAAATGAAAGGATATGAAAATCACTTACCGAAAAATATTCAACATAAAAATTATGTAAAATGAAAAATGTAATTGATGTACCAGGAAGGAGAAATGACATCACGGGAAATTCTAAATTAATGCTATTTTAATTAAAACCACCAGATTCTTCTCAATAAACAAACACACATTCTCAAGTTTAAAGAGAAAGTTTGAAGAGCCAAATCAAACAAGATTAAAAGGGACAAAGTCAAAAAGCTGACACTAACTGAATTCACTGTGTCGCTGTGGAAATCTAGCTGGGGAGTAGTGGTGACGACAGACAGCCCTTTCATAAAAAGATGCTGCAATAAACTGGAACAATCGTGGCCACAAAAAAAATACACAAAAACTTTATACTCTTCACAAAAGTCAAGTCAGAATGGATTTAGACCTAGAGTGAAAACTCCAATTTTCTCACAAAACATGACAAATAGGAAAATCAAGGGGACCCTGGGTTGGGGCATCGCATTTTAGGGATTACACAAAGCGCACAACCGTGGGACAAAGAATGAGCAAGCTGGACTCTGATGAACTGACCACCGTACTGTGAAAACATTGCTGAGCTCACGGAGGCAGCCACACAATGGGCAGTGACCTCTGCAAACCACACTGCATGTGACTCTTAGAGACATGGCTCTTCAGGGATCTCGGGGAGGGAGGAACGGACATTTGGGGGACACAGAGGACTTTTAGGGCAGGGAACTACTCTGCATGACCGTTAAAGAGGCCCTATGTCAACACACATCTTCCCAGACTCACAGACCTGACCGTGCACTGTAGTCTTTAGTTACTATACTATGGAAATGCCTCACTCACGGAGAAGGAAACGCACCAGCCTGGCCTGGTCATGAGAGGCAAATTCTCTCGGCAGGAGGTGCTGGAGTCTATTGCATGCTACGGAATTCATTCCCTAAAACAACCCGAAAGGGACAAGGTCTTTACCTTAAGTGTGTTCATGGGATTCCATTCCCACATAAGGCAGCTGCAGGGATCATATAATCCAGTTTTGATACACCGGGCAACAGACATGTAGGAAAGACCAAAGGATCGGTCATCCATGGTCAGTACAGAAAGCTCATTCTTTAGCCTTAACGTGTCCCAAGAAGCTGGCTCCTGTCAGCTTCCCCTTCACTGATTTCACCCTGGATGGGTGCAACCTGCTCAGCCAACACCCTGTTCCATCAGGGATGAAGGATGCAGGTGGATGCCAGGACCTCTGTGCTGTACATCCATCTCCTGTGCCAGCACTCAGGCACTCCTGACTGCCATGGCTCTAAATATGACACTGGCATCAGACCACCTTGTCAAGAAAGTCACTGTGTGCAGGGTCCTCTGGCCCATGCCCTTCAAGCAGCTCGGTGTCCTCAGGGCTTGCGACCCACTCACCTGGGCTCAGCTTTGCAGCAAGGCTCTCTGCCAGCCTGTAGCCCTCAGCCAGCTGCTGTCGGAGATCCCGGCTCTGGGCGGTGTCAGCCTCGTACTGGGTGAGGACGGCCTTTAGGTGGTCCCTGAGCAGCAGCAACTCATTGCTGCCCGCTTCTAGCTTCTGCTTCAGCTGAGACAGCTTCCTGTGCTGCTCTTGGATTAGCACACAGGACTCCCTAGGAGGCAGACACACAACAGCGTGAGCCCACAGCGTCGCACAATAGATTCCACGTACATCGCCAGACACAAGTGAGAAGAAGGAATCCTCCAACCAGGAATTTAGGACATGTTTCATGACCCGCCTGTGCCAAAAAACCAGGAAAAAGTAGACAAGAAAAGTCCTTGTCTGTATCAGAAAGTGCTCCTGTGGGACTCCTGGACATCCCCTCATCGCCTCTCCTGTCATCACAACCAGCTGTGTCCTGAGCCCCATCTCCTGTCCAGAGATGCCCCCGAGACCAGGGACCTTTCTGTGTCAAGAGACACATGGCAGAGCTGGGAGCACATCTGACAGACAGGAGCCCACAGATGGCAGGGGTCGCCGAGGAGAGCTCCAAAGATGCAGAGCTCCAAAGGCCCAGGAGGCAGTGATGGGGGGGCGGGCAGGGAGTGAGGACAGTGCCATGCCAAAGGCACCTCAGCAATCATCACACACCTTCACTTTCATCTGCTTCATTTTGGAACAGCATAAATGAGCATCTTTCCAGCACTGTTAGTCCACCTCCTCCCAGCACCACCCTTCCTAATTATTTTATGAGTACTTGTGAGGCCTGGGCCCGCCATGGCTTCTGCGCTCCCCAGCCCACAACAGCTCTGGGTGCTCACACCCCAGCTCACAGCCCCGCCCCCCGCACCCCACCCATGTCCCCATACCGCAGCTGCTCAGCCAGGGAAATCTTCTCCGCAAACTCCCACTCCTCAGGCTGCAACCTCTCAGCCAGCACAGAATCGATGACATCCTGGAACTTTGTACTTTCTGAGAAAACACAGAAGCACGTCTCAGGGAGTGGCTGGAAACACAGCCTGGGTACTGCCTGCAGAGGAGGTCAAGGCCACACACGGCAGCGCTCAGCACAGTACCAGGCTCTGTGGCAGGGGCGTCACGGATATATTTTCCAATTTCTCACACAGAAAATATCTGACGGTCTCCAATTTAGAGACAGAAGAGGGAAGCTGGCAGGCACGAAAACTACAAATGACTCAGCCGGCATGACACGCTCAGGACTCACATCCCCACGGCCTGAATGGGCATCCAGGACATGGGAGTGGCCAAGCCCGCAGCCTCCTAACCTACACCCTCAGCAGGGCATGAAGCAGTGCCAGCTCTGTGCCGGTGACAGCTGAAAGGTCCCGTGGGCCAGGATTGCTGAGGGGAACCAAGTTCTCAAATACAAAACCCTGCCCAGCCATGTGTACACAACGCAAGGCAGACCAGCACGGGAGCGGACAGTGAACACCCAGCACTCAGGTAGAGTGGGTGTGGGTCTGGGCCAGGCCCTGTTGCCAGCATGACAAGATGGTGAGCTCCGGTGCTCACTGCAGCCCCAAGCAGGAGGGATGGGTCAGCACAGGAGGCAGCCGAGGGCCTGGAGAGGACACTCCTGGCTGGGTTAGAGCCTTGGGACAGCACAGCACTGCACCCCACACAGCTCCCCCACAGGGCCCAGGGGTGGCTTTCTCCTCCATAACCCTCAACATCTTTTCCTGTGATTAAACTGAACAAGGAAAACATGAGTGAAACACAGCTGGCCTCTTCCCAAAACTAATCAGGCAACTTCCTTCACATGGGCCACTTTTTACTATTTTCTGAGTCCCTTTCAGCGGACAGAAACACTACCGATGCATTCCTGGGAAGAGCACTGTGGGTCAGTGTGGGAACTTCAGGCTCAGAGTGGGCGACATCCCTATGGTGACAGTGCTGTTTCAAGAGCTGTCCCTGACTCCCCAGTCCCCCCACCCCACGCCTCTCCTGCACAGGCCAATGGGCTCCACCTCTGGGCTGACTGTGGGAGGGGTGCCCTGCTCATGACCTTGGGGTTCCTCACACCCCTCCTCTCATGTAGCCTCACAGTTCAGGGCTCAGACTCTCAAAGTCTACCTGGCCCTGCTGCTCAGCCCCCTGCCCGATCCATCAGCTCCTGGTGCCAGTCTCTGCTCTTCTAACAAGGCTGCCACTGAATTACAGCCACTGGCTCTCCTGGACTCCTAAGAGCCTATGCCCTGAGAAGCCCCCCACCCCCATTCCATGGCAGTTCCTGGTCTCCATGGTGACAGTGATGGCTGCCATACACTGAGCAGCAGAATCCCCAAGCTCCTTTCGAATTGTGGTGAGCACAGGCTGCTTTCCCCAGCCTAACTAGCAGGGTGTTGGGTCCTAGAGGGGCACACAAGGTCCTGTTCAAAATGTCCTGAGTGTTTCTTGAGGAAACCAGACTATTCCATGTCCTGAGTTTGATTCCCGGCACAAAAAATAAAGGGGGAGCCTGTCTCAGCATAATCTAGGAGAAACGGGTGAATGCTTTGAATCTCTGTTTCTCATCTTTACCAAGGAAAGGGGAAAACATGGGCTTCTACCTTTCTAAGACCGCCACAAGGTAAAATGCATTCTGAGGCAGGGCGGACCCCACTGGGAGAGTGTTTCATCTCTCCGGAGAACTGTGTTCCTTCACGGTGGTGGTGGCTGCGACCCTGGAGAACTTACTGCATGTACGCAGCTGATTGGCCAGGACGTAGAGCGTGGCTCTAGTTACACAGAAGTTGGCTTTGATGTCGCGCAACTGCTGCCGGCTCTTCTCTAGCTGGACACTCAAGTTCTGGATGATATCAAAGTAGGTTATTTCAGCCCTTTGATGGCACAGAGGGCTGGAACCCAGTGTCACACTGACTTCAGTGGCTGATGTGACAGAGCTGAGCACAGTGGAGAAGAAATCCAAATACAAGATGAGTTAAAGCCAAAGGAAATCAGTAAGTCTGAGGCCTAGAGGCAGACAGTAAGTACACTGAAGGCCTCACTGGAGAAAAAGGAGACCCACACCCCAGAACTCCTGAGAATTTCACCATGAAAACCAGCTCCAGGACCCACAGTCAGAAAGAGGGTCCTGCCTGCAGCTCAGACTCAGATAGAAGTGGGGCAGTTGTGGCCCAGGGTGCCGGGCAACGGTCAACAGTCACAGCCAAGAACTGGAAGGCGTGGAGGTCACGGAATGCCAGGAGCCCCTGCCTTCCAGCTGCCCAGGCTGTGCTGATACCCAAGGCCACTTGGTCTCTGGGAAGTCACTGCTGATGGGCACTCAACGGCCAATACGAACAGCCTGTCTCCAAAACCTGAAACATGCTTCCCCGTGTTCACTCTTAAGTGTGGCTAACACCATCAAAACACAGACTGCTTCCCTACAGACTATATTTTCAGCAGGGCTGTGTGGAGGTCAGTTCACCACTTCTCTATGTTTCTTACTGAAGTGAGAACTCTAAACATGATGTTCTTCTCCAAATATTCACCCACTATTTCTATACCCATTATAATGTACAGAAAAAAAGACCAGTGTGCAACATCAAGTAGATCCACTACAAAAGCTGAAAACTGTGTTCTTTATCAGTATAATCCTTGCTAAATTCCATTTTTGGTTTTTGAGACAAGGTCTTGCTATATACTTCACACTGGTGTTAAACTTGTTGCATAGCTCAGGTTGGCCTTGACCCTGAAGCAATCTTCCTGTCTCAGCCTCTGGAGCACTGAGATTACTGGCCACCTGGCCCATGTTCCATTTTTATGTTGGTTTTCTTCCTGTCTTTGGGACAGCTGTTGGCTTTTCATAACATCTAAGTTAAATTTCATATAACTCAGCCACCTTCTCTCTGATGAGGGCTTTTTGTTTGTTGTAGTTTTAGCCTTGCTAAACAGCACAGTAAATACGGGTCACTAACAGTTGTAGTCTAATGCTGCAGGTGCTTTCTACAAGTGTTAACCTGATGAAAAGTTTAAAAACCTTGACAACCATGGCCCCTGTCCTGCACTGAATTCCTCATTTCCTTCTAGCAAATCCTGACCTAGATGGAGATTCAGTACCCAACCTCACACTGTTCAGGCTCTGGGGTCCTTGTCTGGGTGGCTTCTCCTATTTGGGTTACACAAACATCACCTGTGAAAGGAAACAGATGCTATGCTAAGGGTGTGTGAACCCTCAACATGGGACCCTCTCTGGAGAGATTCCCCAGAGTCCTTCTGTCCTGAATCTTCAGGAGGGGGAGAGCCCAGGGCTGTGGTCCATCACTGTTCTCTTCCCTCCAGGGTAGGCTCAGCAGTATCCATGATGCACCTTCTCACCTGTGGTGTTGAGAGCCCTTAGTGACCCTGGAGCACCCACATACAAGGTTTCTCTCAATTAGGGCTGCCGTGCCTGCCCCTGTGTCTCCAGTGTAAGCAGCCCAATGCTTTAAACGCAAAGCCACAGATTCACTACCTGAGCTGACCTCCTGCAGATCCAAGCCCCAGAGCTCAGAAGAGAATTGACGTCTGATGGCATGAAAAGGGCAACAAAGGCAGTAAAGCCGGGATGTTAGCTTATTCCTGTTTCAGTGGAACAAAATTTGCTCTTTCTCCACCACTTGAGGAACAGGTAACTAGGATTTTAATCATGCAGTCACGCTTATGTTTCCAATACAAATATAAAAATTGCTTTCACTCTTTCTACAGTATTTTATATGCAAGTTGAGGTTAAAATAACAAGTAGTACAATTCTATGACCATGCCCAGGGTGCCATTTATCTTTCTTCAGGGAGAGGCTAGCGAAACTGGAAAGGTCTCATCAGCAGCACTGGATAACACAATTGTGGAAATGATGAACCTGTAAGTCTTCCTGAACTGGCCTCTTCATTTCTCCAGCTGACTGGAACACAGTGGAAGCCATCTTCACCCTCAGACCCGCACAGTGTGAATGGCTTTCAGCCAGGCTTGGGTCCAGCCTTGGGTCCAGAGGGACTTCAGAAGGCAGCTCTATCACATTAGCAGGCCGATGAGAATTTCAGTTCCAAATCATCAGCCCCGACTTGAGTTTCCCAATCATTATATATGTTTCCGAAAGGAAGTACAAAAAGCAGATGACACAATATCCTACATTGGTTACACGCCTTTGTCATTAACTTCTAAGCAGAATTTCCTCTTACAGAAACAGCATCTATATGAGGTTACCATCGTACAACACAGAGGAAGGAGCCATGGTTTTCTGAGACTGGGCAGAGAAGGCCTTGCAGTGATAACTCTCTGGGACTTGGAAATAAGAGAAACTGTTTTTTATTTGCTATTTTTGGTTGAGCTACACTTATCTTGTAATTGGCATCCACAGTGTCAAGGCTCGTTAAGTTTGTAGCTATCTAACCATGGGTACAGGCGGGGTCTCTTGGTCTCACCCTAGCAGTGTGAGAAATGTTTAGTATTAGGTATTTAAGTTTAAAAATTCCTCTACATTTCCCCCCTTTTATTTTACATGGAAAACTCATTTTTCTCACTTTTAAGAAGCTGATAGGAGGAAGTAACCTGTAAGACAAGTTGTTGGTTTATGGTTATAATCGGTTTAGACAGAAATCAGGTCAGAAATTGAATCACACATGGGCCCATAAGCATTAATTGTCATGATGCCTGTTATTGGCCCAAACACTCATGTCCAAGAAGGAAGAAAATCTAGGGACCCCTACAAGGAAGGGACTTCTATCCTGTTTGTAGTTCTCTGAATTGACTGGAGGTTTTTGTTGGTTTGTTTGTGTTGGAAAAGGCAAGTGCCTCCATGCTGGGCTGACAAGAGATCCAAGCCCCTTTTTTTCTGGAGGATGGCTACAGCCAAGGAATCTATTTGGTCTTACAGCAGGTCCATAGAAGCTTATATGTTAGTAAACTCTCCAGTTAATTAACTGTGAGTCTGCTGCTGGTCTAGACCCATGGCTGTGGCATTGAGGATTAAGCTCCCTGTTATTGCTATTCCCACCAAATGGGCAATATAATGGGGTCACACTTCTGATGGGACTCGGGTGTGTGTGTAGGGCCTTGTTGACCTGAGTAAACAGAGAGATCAGGGGCCAGAAAAAAGTGCATAGAGGTTCACTGGAGTGTAATTAAGCATTTGAAGTCTCCTTCAGAGCAAACAAAGAAATTTTTATGAGGAGCTACTAGAGAACCTGAAGTAACAATTAGCATATCTATACAGTCAGCAGAGACATCTCAGCCTTTGCAGGAACCCAGGAAGAAGGAGGTGTAGAGGACTGTTTGGTTTGTCGCCATTCTGGACAGACATACTTATTATTGGAGCAATATTTTTGTTCTCAATCTAATCTTCCAAATCTTGAGTAGCAATTGTTATTTTAACTTGGGATTTCAGCCTAAGATGGGCATGTATCAAAATAAAGGTACGCTTTAGGTTGGGAGGGGTTCCATCTGGTATGATTAGGAGTCATGACAGGACTTAACCATAAATTTGAGTTTGGAATTCCCAATGTTCTGAATTATCATATGTTCCCAATAGGTTAGGCATATTATCCATAGGAAAATCATTTTAAACAGTTAAAGAGTATTTAGTCCAATAACTACAAGATAAAAAAGAGCAAAGGCAACCTTTTTCAGAATTCTCCAATCCTCTGGGGACATAGTCCAAAAACGCAACAGCAAATATCAGTATTAACAGGAGGAAAAAGACCAAGAATTCAATAGAATAACAGCACATGGAGGTCACAGATATTCCAGTGTATACTATCTGTTCAGCCTTCAGCCATGCGTTGACTCAGCCTCCAGGGGTGATGAGCACAGGGCAGGGCTTTGAGTGTGTCCCTTCAGGGTAGTCTGCAGAAGACTGGCTTCATCAGGACAGGCTTTTCAACAATCATCAGGATGAACCTGCTGGATCCTGGCATGGTGAATTTAGGGCTGGATCTCTGTCAATTTTTGGTGTCCTCTGTTGCTCTTGAGTTGCCCAAGTTGGCAACCTGAGTGTCAGCCCCCTAAAAGTGGCCCAGTTGCCTGTGTACACATGTAGGTGGTCTTTTTTTATTAACCATAAGTAATCACACTGTCTGCAACTTTGTCCATTGGCTTGACTTGCCTTTTCCAGTTTCAAATCAGAGTATTTCCATACTGTGCTGGACAGTGAGCACTGTCCATTGCAGGGCTGAGTCATGGCTGGACTTATCAGTATATCTGGTGTCAGCTGGAAGTCCTTCTTTTTCTTTTGTATAAGGACTAGAGGTCATGTCTCAGATGGGTTCCTGGGCCCTTGTTATGGTTTGTGTCTGTGTGTTCCCACAAAGCCTCACGCAGTCACACAGGTGGCTAGGTCTAGCATTTGTCATTGGTTCGTTGTCTAGCGCTGGGATTGCTGGTAAATGCTGCACCCACCCAGGGGCAGGGAGCTGGCATACAATGTAAGGGAGGGAAGGAGGTGTGCTTTTTCCCCTTTTTGCTCTTATCACTTGTAGTCTCCGTGAACAGCTGCCCTCAGCCACCCTGCCTTGGAGCCAGCTGCGTATGGACTGAAACTTCCAATAACTGTAAGTTAAACTTTTTCTTCCCTAATTTTGAGGGTCAGTTATTTTGTTCCAACAATGAGAGAAAAGTAACCATGCAGACATGTACGTCATGGGTCCCCAAACCAAGGCCAGCTCAGCTGCCAACAAGCTGAGAAAGAGGCCTGTTGTTAGAGGTATGTCCACCAATGCATGAGAGTGGCAGCCTGTGTGATTCCATTCTTCGGATGGGCTGTTCACATCCACATCCATTTCTCTATCTGTCCCATGATTTCTCATTGGTATATAAAGCAGCATTTAGCACAGCTGTTGCTCAGTCAGGGAATGTCAGTTCTCAGTTCCCTTTTACAACTGTGACCAAAACTTAACAAGATATCTCTGTTTTCCCTGTTTTTGTGACAGGCTTCAGCCCAAATCTGTTGTCATCCATACTGACAAG